TATATTAGTATAGTGGTAGATAGATCATAAAGCCGAATATAGATCTCGATATCTATTAGCTATTTACCTCCGACTCCTATAATAGCCCCACCGTAGTGCTGCAGCACTCCCGTAGCACTCCCATAGCACTCCCGCAGCACCATAATATAATGCTATAATATAATGTATTTCAGGGTCTACATTATCCCCTTATTCTATATAGCTGCCTAAAGTCCTATTTTCTGACCTCGGTCAGAAAATAGACAGTATATTAAGTTATTATATAAAGCCTATACAGTATATTAATTATAAAGATTAAAATAAGATATAAGGTAATTCATCCGGTCGCAGCACTATACTATTTAAAAAAAGGGTGAAATATAGGCTTTTACTGTAGAAAAATAAAATCGAAACTATAAGGTATAAATTAGAAGGTATATACATAGAGTAAATATATATATCCACACATAATACTAGTACATTCTCTTCTAGATAATATTAACCACTAATTGTATACTGTTTTAGGCTGATTTTACTTTAAATCTACATTAATATAGGACTTAAAGCTTATATTCTATTTCTTAAACGTGAGTTAATACGAATCTTAGCAGTGAGTGACCATAACTACCTCCTAATGCTAATATATGTGTAAAAAACAGTAATTTATCAAAATAAGTCAGCATTTTATCCATCCATTTTGGGTAATGCTTAGCAGAATTATGCTAACGCAGCACTAAAACTGGTGCTGCGACGGTGCTGCAGCACTTAGTGCCGCAGCACCATATAACAGCACCAAAATTCCCTTAGTCCCGCAGCACCTCGCAGCACCATATCGCAGCACCAAAATTGCCTTGGTGCTGCGGGACTTGTCAAGGCCTAACTATATTTATCTTAACCAAAACACCATTAAATTAATTTAACTAAATTGATTTATCTAGCTAGGCATCTATTGATTTTATACCCTATCTCTCCATAACCACTACACTTTAGGGAGGCCCGCGTACGTGGTTATAAAGCCGGCGAAGGGCTTCTTCGTGGAGGGGAGGGAGGTGCTTCTAGTGCTTCCACCGATCTAGTAATTAATTAAGAAGCTTCTTAAACTAAGAGACCTTACTTAGCGGGTACCTGCTTCTGGGACTGGGTCCGTTTCTACTTTTACTTCTCGTTAGCGGCGCGTAAATCGCTAACTTCTTTCTCCGGTAAAGCAGTAGATTATATAGTGATCTAATATACTTTTTAAACCTAATTTATCGCGCATTTTAACGGGCTCGGAGGGCTCCTCGATCTAGCACGAAGTAAAGCTTTAGTTAACGAAGCTTACTTTTATAATTACACGTAGTTCGGGGGCGTTTTTAGGTCCTAATCGCTTCCTCTGCTCGGAGGGGGGTCGGGGTTCGAAGCTAAATATTTAGCTTCGAGGCCACTTAATTAGGTATAAAAGGTACTAAACTAGCTACTCCGAAGCTATTTTTAATAGTCTCCGATTTAAAAGCATTAGTTCGTGCGAGGGGGTATACTTCGAGGAAATTAAGTTTATCGATATGGTTAATTCTGGTCCGCATTTTCGTCTCGACTAGCCGACTATATGATCGTTTTAACACCGTAAAATAGCTAATATCGAGAGGCTATAAAAGGTAAGAGGAGTGAGGTGGTATATAGATCGGTATTACCTTATTTTACTCATAAATCTCATCGAATTTAGGGGTTAAATGGCTTCCGTGTCCGTTAAGTATTAAAAGTCGATACCCCCCTTCGTACGCGAAGAAGTCGTCGGAATAAAGAGCTTTTCGAGCCAGCGAACTCTAATTTTATTAGAGGTCTAGCCGTTCGGACTAACTTTAAATCGCTAGTTATCCGGGAGGCCCTTAAACTAAGATTCGAGGAAGATTTTACCTTTAAAAATTATATATAGAGGGAGCGCCTACTCTAATACATTTATACATTCGATAATAGTCACCTATTCACGATTTCTAGGCTATAAAAGGGAGCGCTAGCTAGAGAGATCACTCCTCGTAATCACCTTCGCTATAGCGATTAACCCTATCGCGAAACCGGTTTCGTCGAAGTTATAAACGTTATCGGGGTCGATTCCGAATTAAATGATTATCTTTTAAACTAGATTAAACCACTCCTTAATGATTCTAGGGTCTTTATATTTCGCGCTCTTATAGGTACACCGTTTTAAGAATCGAGAGGAGAGGAGAGGACGCCGTTTTATAAAGTTATATACCCATTTTTCGCCGACCGAAAGAATTAGGGTAGTTCTACGCTTTTAAAGAAGAAGATCCGCCATTTCTCGTACTGCAGAGGGCCGGGGGGCTACTCCACGAGAATCCATAAAGAGAATCCATTTTTAAAGAGACTCCTCTTTAATTTATGTTAATTTAGACGGATTTACGCGAGAATTCGCGCGGTTTTATGTACCACTAAGGCCGCGGCGAAGGGTAGTTTCGGGTACATTAAAACGGCGCGCCACTTCACGAACTAAAGATAATTCTTTATTCTTAAAAGCCTAGGTAGCTAATAAGACCCTACCCCCTTGCTCTGCTGAATTGTTAGAGGATCGGGAGCGAATTAGTGGCATGGTGGGTGGTTGAATTGACTAAGTGCTAATTCATGGACGCGTTTTGGGTTAGGTGCGCCACTCGCTTGCGTGCGCCGCTCGCTTACCGAACACGTTAATTCATGACTCTAACGAAATACATAATATCTTGTAAAAACATAAGATATTCGTATAAATAAGTCAGTATATATTAATTTAATATAAACTCCAGAGACTAGTCTGACTAGTCCTTTATTCTACCATCTCCTCCTCCTTCCTACCCCTCCTCGCTGTGGGATATGCAGAAACGACATAGGAAAGGTTAGACCTAGTCGAGAATTACTCCGCGCTCGACGACTATGAACGACGATACGGGCCCGTCCCGAAGCCCTCTCGGCACCGTCTCGCTCGACGCCGACGGCGACATCATCGTGCTTATCGTGAGGATCAATGCGACCCGGGGGGGGGGGGGGTACTATGACGGGCCAAAGCCCGGCCTGGATCACTTGAGGCACGTGCTCACAGCATACATAAACCCCCATCGACGGTAGATAGTTACTAATATTGATATAAACAGCATGTTGGCCCAGCCTAATTGAGTCAATAAAGCTACAGCCCTTCACATCCGATTTTTAACCGCTAAATAGTCTAGCCTAGGCAAATGCGAATATACCAGGTAATAAGATGACTAGGGGTGACTACTTCTAGGTGGTCCTTTTCTATTAGTTTTTACTTAATATTCCTAGGAGTATTTATTAGGTATGCGTTTAATAAAACGGTAGGCTGAGTTTCAACCGAGGCCTAGATCTATATTATGCCGATAGATAATTTAACGTGCACATTTCTGGATTATAGCTATAGTTAGGAGAGTGTTTATGTATTAATCTAATGAGTTAATGCCTACCCTTAGTTAGGTCGTAGGGCTTTGTTAGGGCTTTGTTATGTCAAGGAACGAAGCCAAATTGATTCAATGCTGACTAAGTCGACATGCTGTTTACAAAAAGCTTGGAGATGGGAAGGAATGAAGTAAGCGGGACAATAATAAGGATGACGGGCAAGGCAATGGCAGAACGGAAGGATATATGGCAGGGCCATATAGTAGGAAGCGGGTCTAACCCGTTACAATATCTTCCTTTTTATCGGAAATAGATATACTATATAAATATATAGTATACTAGGTGTTTATATACTATATTAATGTATAGTATATTAGGTTTATATTATTAATAGTATATCCTATAAATAAATTAAGATTCCTGAATAGGAAATTAATCTAGTATTTTCCTTAATAGGAAATGGAGTCACTATTTCCTAAATAGGGAATAGAGTTCAAAATTTCTAAAATAGGAAATTACCTCGGTGTTACCTAATTAGGAAATCAGTAACCTACCGGGCTCATAACCTATGGAGTAGTTAAGCAGAATAATTATTATAGTCTAGTAGTAGACTATAACCGGCCCTTACATTTTGTACCAAAATTACAGACCCTCGCAAGCGAGGGTCCGCCACCCATTTGCAAAGGATCACCTAAATGCAATATTTTCATACCTTTTACTTTAACCACAATTTCCTATCTTATAACGTAGTATATTAATTAATTAAAAATAGTAAAGAAATCAATTAGCCATTTAACTACTAGAATATAAAAAAAAAATCACTTCTCCCGGCGTTTCTTTACCCTACTATGCTTCCTAATTTTAACTAACACCTTCCACTTCCGCCTTATTTTTTCTTAATCCATCTTTTCAAACTCTTTTCTTTTTATCTCTTTAACTTAGGATGAATTAATGATTCCGGTGATCTATGTATAACGCCGAGAAGTAACGTACCGGGCGTAGCGAGCACCCATAATAGCTTATATTAAATCGAATTCCCGCTATAGCTAGTAAGCTAATATAGCTTACGCTTTAGCCCCCTTTTAAAGCTTTATTAAGGCATTTTAAAAGCGCTAAGTATCTAGATCATACTAATTAAGCCGGCAGCTAATCCTTCTTACTTTCTCAGCGGTTTTTAGGGTGCTAAACTCAGTGTTTTATGAGGTGGTTAAGGGTATATTCGACTAGGGTAAAATATTATAATATGGATCGTACGACTCTAATTCATCCGTAATAAGCTTAGGATTAATAGGCCAGAGGCTAGTTAATTTAAATCTAAGCTTTATTATATTCGACCGGAAGGTTTTCCGTCTGATTTTTCTAATTAAGTGTAGAAATTTATCCTTAGAGAATTTACGGTATCTAGTCATTATAGCAGCTTCTATAGCCTCACTATACTAGTGTTTATATACGCGAAACACGCCGATATCGAGAGGTTATAGTATATAACTAGTATACGAGAGTAAGAAGAATAATATAATATCATTCTTCTCATAAAATCGGATAAATTAGCGCGTTAAATGCGAACTAAAACGGTCGCATAAAACTAGCCTTTTTCTTCTAAGTGTACGACTAACCGTCCACTTATAAAAGAGCTGAATCTATTAATATGCTAAGGTATCGTTAATATAGCTAGTATCGGTTATAGCTATATACTTATCCTCCTAGATAGTATTAAACTTACGTAGTAATGCCTATTTTACACTTAGGATTATAAGTGGCGGGTAGGTAAAACTATCGGCCGAAATAGCCTCTAAAACCGTGATAGACTCGCGATTTATGATAGATCCATTAAATAGCTTCTTTTTTAGATGCCTAGTAATGATGAATTAATCGCGACCGACGCTAATTTAGAAGCTAGTTTCGTCGAAATTATAGATATCTTAATAGCATATACTATGCTTAGTCACCATACGTTAATGGTCTTAAAACCACCTCTCTACCACGGTTTTATTAAGTGCACTAGCCCTTTCGATATTAAGGGCTCGCCGGCGTCGTACATAGTACTTAGGATTACGTTTAAGAAAACGCTTTAGCTAGTGGTTAACGATTTATGGTGGTAGAGTGGTAGAATCGGTATAGTCTTCTTCGAGAATTAAATTAGTAGTAGTAATTTATCGGCGATTTATTAATGCTCCGACCATGTTAAAGTAATTAATATAATCACATAAAGCCTACTCCTATATAGGATTAAGCTTCCGGCCATTAGGTTATCGTTAAAAAATTGATTTTCCACCTTACTATCGCCGGCGTAGTCGGTCAGTGCATAGGAACCGCGAATTCTCGCGTAGTTTTCGAGATATTCGGCTTTATCTGCTTAGATAGAGAATCGAGAGCTAGCTGAATCTGTTGCTCTATATCTTTATTGGTTTTAGGCATTTTTGGTGGTGTGGTTAGTGGTCAAAATAAAAGGGTAGGATTTAAAAGAATATTTGCATTTAGGTGATCCTTTGTAAATGGGTGGCGGACCCTCGCTTGCGAGGGTCTGTAATTTTGGTACAAAATGTAAGGGCCGGTTAATATTTAAGGAAGTTATATCTTATATAAGTAAATTATATAAGATATTAATAAGCAAGGTTATACATATTCTAAATAGGAGATAAGGAGGAGATGATATTATCGATTATCTCATGATTTATGGCGATTTAGAGGTAAGCCATATTATAGTTTACTAGATTTAATATATCCATAGATATATTAATATTATCAGTAATTTATATATGACTTCCTTCACGCCATTATACTCTGCCATAATATACTATTATACTAAGATGCCTCCTAAATGATCTATAAAAAGGCGCTGATTTATACCTTCATGTAATTTAGACATGCTTCTTAATATATTCTTAATATATATATATCCTCATCTCCTCCTTATCTCCTATTTAGGATAAGTATAACCTTACTTATTAATATCTTATATAAGCAAATTATATAAGATATAACTTCCCTAAATATTATAGTCTACTACAAGACTATAATAATTATTCTGCTTAATTACTCACACACGTTCGTAATTATATCTTTTCGAGAATCGACTTAATATTAAATAGTGTCGTTTCATGAAATTTATAACCTAGTTTTCGCCGACTAAAATGACCGGGGTAGTTCCGCGCTTTTTAAGGAGAAGATTCGCCATTTCTCGTATAGCAGTAGGGCGAGGGGCTGATACACGAGAATCTATAGAGAGGATCCATTTATGAAAAGATTTCTCCTTGATTTATGTTAATTTATGAGAATTTACGCGAGAAATCGCGCGGTGTTAAACCCCCTATAGGCGCGTAGAAAGAGTTAAGCGGGGTATATCGAATCGGCGCCCCACTCCACGAATTAAAGAGATCTCTTTATTCTTAAAAGCCTGAATAGCTAATAGAATCCTACCCTCATCCTCTACTGAATTTTTAGAGGATCGGGGGCGAATTAGTGGCATGGTAGGTGGTTAAAGAAGTAAAGGGTTAAATTAATTAACACTTTTTAGTGAGGTGGCTAGCTCGCTTATGAAATACGTTAGTGGTCCGAATCTTAGTTTAATACCTTAATAGAATAGCTCGGCTAATTCTATAACGTCTATTTGGAGAAATAGTCTACGACTACTAAAATCGCATTAACTATCCTTCCTTTCTAGATCGATTAAGATAATCCCGTAATAAAATTTATTAATAATTCGGTAAAGGGTTAGGATAGAATCGGTAGCCGTTCGAGCTTACTAAATAGTCGATACCTTAGGGTCTACGTTATTTAGTAGATCTTATAAGATTTAATACATCTCTTAACGTCTTATATTTAGACCTAGTTATAGTTATGTTATAGTAACTCCTCCGTTCTCGCCTAACTAAAATAGCCTACCGTAGGGTTATTATAGTATATCTATAGTAGTTTTATATAAATACCCGCTTTCTTTAGTACGTATATATATCCTTAGTACCGTAATAATCCTAAGGCGTTGACTAACTAGCCTTTATTACTAGGGTCTCTATACTAAGACGTCCCTATTTTAGCGGACTATCTTTAGGTCTTCAGCTTATAGCCTTTCTACCTATTTAAAAATATCTTTAGTATCTATATTAATCGACTGGATTATTACTATAATAATATCCCTAATATTAAATAGTATATGTAAATTATTACATAACGTATTTCATAAGCGAGCTGCCACTGCCACTTAATGAATTAGCACTTATTAATTTAACCACCTATGCCACTAATTCGGTCTAAATCCTCTTAAAATTCAGTAAAGAGGGTAGGATCTTATTAGCTATTCAGGGTTTTAAGAACTAAGAATTTAGTAATATTACTATCCTGCCTGCTCTTTTAATATACCGCGTTTAACTTTACGCGACCGCCTTACCGGCCGTACCGATCGAAGTACTATACGCGTAAATTCCCATAAATTAACAGATATTAAGGAGGAATCTCTTAAGAAATGGATACTCTCTATAAATTCTCGTAGATTAGTCCCTCGCCCTATTACTATGCGAGAAATGGCGAATCTTCTCCTCGAGAAGCGCGGAACCAGCCTAGTTCTTTCGGTCGGCGAAAATTAGGTTATAAAATATATTAAATAACGTCCTCTACTCTCCTAATTCTCGAAACGGTATAATTACGAACGTGCGAAATACGAAGACCCGAAAACTATTCGAGAGTGGTTCGATCTTATTTAAAAAATAATCCTTTAATTCGGAATCGACCCCGATGACGTTTATAACTTCGATGAGACTAGTTTCGCGATAGGATTAATCGCTACAGCTAAGGTAGTTACGAGGAGCGATTTCTACGGTCGGCGCCCGGTTTTATAACCTAGAAATCGTGAATAGGTGACTACTATTAAATGTACGAAGGGGGGTATCGACTTTTAATACTCGACGGACATAGAAGCCATTTAACCCCGAAATTCGATAAGATTTATGAGTAAAATAAGGTGATACCGATCTGTATGCCTCCTCACTCCTCTCACCTTTTATAGCCTCTCGATATCGGTTATTTTGCGGTGTTAAAACGATCATACGGTCGGCTGGTTAAGATAAAAATGAGAAATGGAATTAACTATATCGATAAACTTAACTTCCTCGAAGCATACCCCCTCGCACGAACTAAAGCTTTTAAATCGGAGACTATTAAAAATAGCTTTAGAGCAGCTGGTTTAGTACCTTTTGCACCTAATTAAGTGATCTCGAAGCTAAATATTCGTCTTCGAACACCGACCCCCCCTCTAAGCCGGGGGAGTGAATTAAGCCGGAATTTTACACTAAAAGCACTAGCTACAGAGAAAGAACTACGTCGATAGGCTTCGTTAATCAAAGCTTTACTTCGTATAAGATCTCGAAGTCCGCCTAGCCCGTCAGGTCGTGCATTAAACTAACTTATGAAAGGCTTCCGTCTTATAATATAAGGCGCTATCTTACTCGCTAAAGAAAATAAGGAATTACGTGCCGAAAACGAGAAGAAGAAGTAAAAGCGGACCCGATCTTTAAGGCAGATAGATCACGAAGGAGATCTTATAGTCCAGGAAGTTCGTGAGCTACGTTCAGAGCCATTTAAGGCCTAAGTAGCGCGTATTAATGCCTATCGTGAGCAGGTTTCAGAGGGTTTACGGCCAGCTACACGGGCCGGGCGAGCGTGTGGAATATGTAGACTACCGGGGCATAGAAGAGAAACATGTCCAGATAGATAAATCAATTTAATTGAATTAATTTAATGGTGTTTTGGTTGAGATAAATATAGTTGAATTTAATGGGTTGGGTGAGGTGGCCAGCTGGCTTACATGGCCAGCTCGCTTACCGAATACGTTAACTAGCGATTTAAAGTTAGTCTAAACGGTTAGACCTCTGATAAAATTAGAGTTCGCTGGCTCGAAAAGCTCTTTATTCCGACGACTTCTTTACGTACGAAGGGGGTATCGACTTTTAATACTCGACGGACATAGAAGCCATTTAACCCCGAAATTCGATAAGATCTGTGAGTAAAATAAGGTGGTACCGATCTATATCCCACCTCACTCCTCTCACCTTTTATAGCCTCTCGATATCGGCTATTTTACGGTGTTAAAACGATCGTATGGTCGGCTGGCTGAAATGAAAATGCGGACTCGGATTAACTATATCGATAAACTTAACTTCCTCGAAATATACCCCCTCGCACGAATCGAAGCTTTTAAATCGGAGACGATTAAGAATAGCTTTAAAGCAGCTGGTTTAGTACCTTTTACACCTGATTAAGTGATCTCGAAGCTAGATATTTAACTTCGAACTCCTACCCCCCCTCCGAGTAGGGGGAGCGATTAGGACCCTAAAACGCCCTCGAACTACGTGTAATTATAAAAGTAAGCTTCGTTAATTAAAGCTTTACTTCGTACTAGATCGAGGAGCCCTCCGAGCCCGCTAAATTACGCGATAAATCAGGTTTTAAAAGCGTATTAAATCACTATGCAGTCTGCTGCTTTTCTCGAGAAAGAAGTCAGCGATTTACGCGCTGCTAACGAGAAGCAGAAGTAAAAGCGGGCTAGATCTCGAAGGCATATACCCTCCGAAGAAGGACTCTTAGTCGAAGAAGCCTCTGCATTAATTATGCAGTAACAGGAAGCAGGTGAAGCACCTCCCGCGGATCCCAGTGTACCTAGAGAATCGGCTATTTAGCCACGTACGCCCCCCCCCGGGGGGGGGGGGGGTGTGGAATATGCAGATTGCCAGGGCATAGAAGAGAAACATGTCCAGATAGACCCGTTAATTAGTTGAATTAATTTAATGGCGTTTTGGTTGAGATAAATGGAATTAAATTCATAGGGTTGGGTTTGCTGATCCACTCGGTGGTGTGATCCACTCGGTGGTGTGATCCACTCGGTGGTGAAATACGTTATAAACTATATCTAAGTTAGATGATCTAACTTCTGCATTTTAAATCACATTAAGCTTCTATACTTCTGACCATATAACTATTATATCCTACTAAGTACTTTAATTTATTGAATATCACTAGGTGAGTATAATTTCTGACCGCAGTCAGAAATTATAGGTGGAAGATTAAGCACTGTTTATAGTAGTGCTTATAGCAGTGCTTATAATAGTATAATATATAGTAGTAATTTCTGACCGTAGTTAGAAATCTAGTCTTTAACTAAGGTCAGAGATCTATGGGTTCTGATGGGTTCTAATAGGTCTTATTGGGTTTTATTAGGGTTAACCCATTTAAATAAGTCTCTTATAGCTAATTATATTATACTATAGTATAGTTCTATTAATCTATTAACCTTACTATAAGACCTAGGTGTAAATTATTTAGATCCCCTTTTCCCTATAAGTATAGACTTTCTCCTATTATGTCCTTATATCTATGTTATTTTATCTTCTAATTATAGCTATGATATCCTAAAGCCAGCATTCTAA